GATCGAGAAGCACTGGGGCAATAAGTTATTTTTGAAAAAAAACATAAATTTAGCGATTTCGAACGTATTGACTTGGAAAATATCTAAAATTCCTAGTTTGGAGAATAAAGGGGCCGAGTGGTCTAGATAGTCTGAGTTGGCGATAGCCCGCACAGCTCGCTTTTGCAAATAATAAATTCTATTTAAGTTAGATGCGTATGTGGACGACCAGACGGAGTTACAATAGACGATATAAGGATAAACTAAGGTGTAATACAAAGTGAGCTTGGTTGCAAAGGATAGGGAAAAGCGAGACCTAAATATAATACCTATTGATTTAGCGATTTGTTTACATACATAGCTGATATGGTATCTCCAGGTGATTTGAATGTCAATATAGACCCCAAGGAATTTAGTTACATTAGCTTGTTGAAGGGGTTTACCTCCAAAGGAGAGAGAAATGCTGGAGTTGAATTTCTTCTGTCTGGGTTTAAAAATTATATAGTTGGTTTTCTTTACATTGACTGAAAGCTTGTTACATTTTAGCCAAACGTCAATGTTTTGGAGTTCATCATTAAGTATAGATTCTAAGCAATCTAGATTTGAGTGAGAGTAAAAGATACTGGTGTCATCAGCAAAAAGTAGAGGGTCTGATAATTCAGAGGCATTAGGAAGGTCATTAATGTATAGAATAAACAATACTGGGCCTAAAATCGAACCTTGAGGGACATCACACTTGATGGTTTGCATCGGAGAGCATGCTTGATTGAATTGGACAAACTGCTAGCGGAAAGAAAAGTAGCTTTTAAACCACTGAAGAGCCACGTCACGGATACCATAGTGCTCCAATTTGGCAAACAAGATTTGGTGGTCGAGGGTGTCGAATGCTTTGGAAAGATCTAGGAAAACACCCACCATTGTTTGGTGTTGGTCGATTGCAGATGCAATTTTGTTTACCAAATGAATTAGCGCGTACGATGTGGTGATTTTTCCGAAATCCGAACTGACAGCGGTAAAGTATATCGTGTTTTTCGGCAAATTCTACGAAGCGATTGAGATCTCTCTCATATTCATAACTTTATATTGATACCTCTTTATAATGACTCTTTATTAATTTGTCACGGATAATATCCGTCTTACCAATGTGATTCTTTCTCTCTTTCTCTCCTTTGTTTTTCTTACATAACCTTTTATGATATCCTCAATTTTCTCTTGCCTAGTTCTTTTTCTCAATCACATTCTCCTCAGTTTATCTCTTAGGTTCTTTATGGTTTGTTGAACCTGTTACTGTTTTCGTCAGTTAGCTACACCTATCTGAGCTTGAAGTTCTTTTTGATACTGTAAATATCGTTCTTTCTCAGCTCTCGACCTTTTCCCTCACTTCGGATATGGCGGCTTCGATTTGTTCTTTCTGTTCTCGCTGATTTGTTCTTCAACCATGCGTTTGATGTTATTTTGACCTCGATGTGTTTCTTTTCTAAGCGACTTATCTGAAGTACAAAGAGTATGAGTTTGTATGTTGTTATCAATTCACAAATCGACTTATGCTGGAGAAACTTGCTATAGACGCCCCTTTAACCATAAATTGCCAATATTCTGGCCAATAACGAGACAAGATATGACGAATCCATGTCTGATCATGACGTGAAAATTGTGGGATATGATGTCAGCCGTTGTGACAGGATAGTCAATGGGAGCCGACTCGGTGGGGGTGTGTGCCTCCATATTCGATTTCATATCAATCACGTAATACATGAGGATTTAGACAATGATACTCAGAAATCATAATAAATCATAAATTTTAAAACCAAGCTCTAAACCTTTTGTTGTCGTGGGAGGAGCGGACGGGAAAATATTTGGCTCTAGTTCATGACGCACGAACCTTTCTGCGCACGGTCCGTACGTCACAAACGAGAGCCAGATATTCTGTTAGTCCCCTGACACTTTTATNCACTATTTAAGCAAATGAATAATCAGTAAAAATTCTTTGACGAACAGCATTTTAACAGAATTGCTATTATAAAAATTAAATATATCTATGAAAAGGAACTTAAATAAACAGAGTACGCTGTCATCTAAGTTTGCGACTGTAAAGTTCGTCCGCTAAATCTGCGCGTTCAACCAATTCATGACATAGTGCCTCATGAATCACTTGATATGTTGCAGCTGAGCTTTCCCTCCCTTTCCAATTTAGTAACATTTGGTAAGTTTTTTCAAAGTATTCCTCATTTTCTTTGCTAATCGCCGTTAAAGTTGCCTCTTCAATTCCGAGACGACGTCCGACTGTCTTCCACCTCTTGAGTTTGTGCGAAAGCCACTCTAGTTCCTCGTTACTGGGCTCCTGCTGCGAAAGCCGCTCTAATTCCTCGTTACTGGGCACTTCCTGTTTGACTGAAATCATAAAAACAACACAAGAAAGCATTAAGACGAGATACGAGTGAATAATGCTACATTTTTGATTTTGGATGAAAAGGAAGAGACTCCTAAAAAAACCAGGGGAATTTCTTGTTTTAACTCTTTCGAGAAAAGTGAAACAACAGAAGGAAATTTTGAGCGAAATCTTAAAAATGGTGCACAACATACGAAAAAACGGCGCTCATTTCAGGTTTCAAAATGACTAGAGAAATCGATAAAAGACATCGTATTTTTCGTTTTGCACGTAAATAAATAAAAAAAAAAAATCAAGGTGATTTTTATACATTTCTGGAGTTTCTAGTGTCAGGTTTTGTTGCAGGTTTCCTACAACGTAAACGGAGTGAAAGGGGAAATTGAAAACCATTCAAAAAAACAAACAAACAAAAAAAAATAAAAATAGTGATGGATATGATACCTCGTTTCCCTTTAGTAACATTCTAACGTAGAGACTTTAAACATATTGGCTCTACTTACCATGATGAGGATCCCTGGCTTTTCTCTAGAAGATAAACATGAAGACGTATTTGATTTCAAGGAAGATCTAATTCCCTACCTTTATGAAAATTAAATCGCATGTATTGCCGCTTGGGACAATGCACGAACCTAATACTTATTTTTAATTCTACTTGTGGTTGTTTTTGTCATCACTGAGTCATCAGTTAACCACATTTATGTGGTTAGCCGAACAGTCATAACAATAGCCTGCGTGGCTGGAGGTTCTTTGCCCGCTTTACGGTTTTGACTAGAGAACGCTAAGCGATGAGCGTGGTGGCTACGATTAGACAGAAAAAAAAAAATAAATAAAAAACACCGAAGCAAGGGTATTTTCTTAGTTATCTAATTAACGCATTCAATCATAAAACATCCAGCAATTCCAAACTTGCCCTTTCTCTTTAGGTTCGCCGAGCGTCGTTCCGTCCCGTAAAGCGAAATGAAAACAGTGCAAGTAATAATTTCAAATTGTGTTGCTGTATTTTAAAATAAAACTGTATAGAGTACGTAAAGCATTTGAATTGTTTATTTTTATTTGCCGTGGTCTTCAGAAAAGAATTAAAAAGCCACTTTAATGGTTCGACGCAAAAAAACTGACTAGAGGGGGTTTAATCTTTTGCTCCTTCGCTAGAGCACGGTCCCCCAGCTTGAAGAAAGTTCCAAGTTCAGTTCGGAGAATAATTATTTTTTTTTTAAAATCGGTATCAAACAATAAGTAATCGTTCCATCTTTCCGCTGGTGAAACTGCTCAGCCAGTTGTATTAACGGGTAAACTGATCAAAAGGCAGAAACTTTCTTTGAAATCATTCATCCCTAACGGAGCAAAGATCGTAAAAAATTATACTCTTACCGGAGCCCGTGCCAAATGCCAGATGGCTTGCTCTTTCTTCAATACAACTTCACATGCACA